CCCTTTCCTTTTTTATCAGAGGAAGTATTTTGGTGGGGAGGTTGGGAGTGTGTGTGCGGAGCTGGCCTCTCTGGCTCTCTCACTAGCTTTGTGGCTTCAGGCTCTTAATCCTGTCTCACCTTCATGAGCTGCACACTGAGGCACAGTGGTGCCCATGTCACAGGAAGGGTCTGAGGATTAACTGAGTTAACGTTCATAAGTACTCAGCAAGTCAGAGATCATTACCAGCCAGCTGATCACTTAGCTATATCTATCTCTTACATTCCGGAGACTCAAAGAGCATGATTTTTTTCTCCAATGTAGAGCTTGTTTATGTCAGGTTCCACTGAAAGCAGGTATTTGTACAGAGAGGGGTTGGAAGTGAGAGGCTTTGTTGGCGTGCTGGAGAATCAAAACCAGGGCCCGCACATGCCAGGTAAGCCTTCTGCTGCTGCACTTCACCCTGGCCTCAGTGGGCTTCCTTTTCACTTGTCATTCAATTCATTTACCCCCAAATTTAGCATTCAGTCCCTGGTTCCTCTGATTAAAGGACCACCCCACATATACAAAATGAGCAGAACAGCACCGTCTTACTTCATTTTACAGTGGAACTAAGGATAAATGAGTTAAGGTCATAGAATGTCTGGAGGCCAAATGTAAGTATTAGGACTAATGACACAAAATGAAATTATTTTAAATTATTTTCTGCTTTCTTCCCGCTTCAGTAAGACCTGATGGGAGGTTGAATTTTGCTATTAAACCCAATCAAATGAAGATTGGAAGGTAATTCTCAAGTTAGAATTTGGCCAGGTCATCATGATTAGCAATAGATTCAAAAGGAAAGATAATGGGGAGTTTTAATAAGCTTGAAACTTACCTGAAAGGTGAGATAAACACCACAAAAGAAGTGCTGTTAAGCAGCGTGACCTAATTTTAGGCAGCTTGTTTGGGACATATCCTCATGGTAATATCTGTCTTTTCTATTGTGATTAGCTGGAAAAGAATCTTTTCTTTGTTAACTTTCCTTCAGATCTCCTTTGAGGAAATACTCCAAGGTCAGCTGTTCCCTGGCCAGGAAAATTAGCTGGTGTTCCCAAGTCTGATTACAGTAAAGAGGGCAAGTCAGTCAGTTCAGTGCTGGAAAGAGCAACCACTCGTTCTTCCCAAGCTCCCTGCAGAATTTTACAGACTGAAAGGTAAGAGTTCAGCATTGGAGGATGATACTTCTCTTCAGTTTCGAAAGCACCACGGTTTATTACCTAATTACCTAGAAAGGGAGCCCTCCTGCCATATTCTTTAATAGCAGCCTTGGCTGAATTTTGAGGAAATGATTCATCACATTTTAGAGAAGGCAGCCTCTGCCTATCAATTTGACTCAAACACCACTCTGGCTATAGGACTCTCCTGCAAGTGGAAACACTGTCAAATTAAGGAAAGAAAGAGACTCAAGGGAGAAGAAAGGAAATCTAACTGAGTTAACCCTAATATGGGAGATAAATGACAAATGGAAGAAAAATGCAAGCGGCAGAGAGACAAATAGTTTTCTCTAATGTCTCCTGAACATATTTTAAAGCTGAGATTATATATGGGCAGCTAAATTGGAAAAATGAGTAATAAAATATCTTCAATTCTATTGGAATGCCAAGGTCTATTTTACTTTTCTCTCCCCTTCTTAGGTAAACAAGACTTACACTGTAAACTGTCACAAAAGAAAATACGGTACCGTTACATACTAATAGGAAGCGGACTTTGAACCACCTTCCCTTCTTTCTCAGTCCCCAAGGACCTTGAGGGAAGGCTTGTTCTTGGGGACTGCCTAAGGCCCTTATTTCGCACGGGCTTCCCTACTGCTGGCAGCATTAGGTACGAATCTTGCCCCTTGCCACATGCTGGGAGCACCGCGCTGTAGATCACTACGGCCAGGCCTAACTTGCCTCCTCCTGTGGACGAAGCAGGGCCCCGAATGGAACAAGGAACATGGCTCTCTTTCGCTTCCTCCCGGGGAAGAGGCAGGGCCCCGAGGGAGGAGAGCGGGCTACAAGAGGGCGTGGTGGAGTAAGGCCTAGCTGAGGACTATCTTCCTTCCCACTCATCTGCCAGAGAAACATCAAGTACTGTCTCTTGCAGACCCTAGCTGCTCTCCCTGTTCCAATCAGGCCTCCCCTTTCGGTTTCCTTGTCTACACTATAAATAAAGGTGCTGAGGATGCAAGCCGAGCTTTTTGTCTAACCAGGACAAAGAGTTTCCACCTGGCCTCAGCTATGCACACTTTACTGTTGTCTTTGTCTTATTCTTTGACTTTCTTAGCCTCTCACTGTCGTTTCTCACTCTGTGAACCCTTCAGCCATGCGGGTTGTGGCACCCACGCATGGAGGACAAGTCTAAACCGATGCTCCTGGACAGGCTTCAACAGGTCTATTTTGGTGGCACCCTTGAAGCCAGACTACAGCATTCCTGTGGCAAACCCATTTTCAACACTGTAGGTGTTTTTCATTTTCTGTCTGAGTGTGAACTGATAACAGACATACAGACGGATTCGTGATGCTGGCTGTGTACACTGAGGGCTGTAATATTGAGGTGGGGTGGAAGGTTCCTGTGAGGCAAAGTGGAGGTCCATATTCTTGGTGTTAAGAAAAAAGTTGGGGTTGGGGGTACAGCACGGTCTTACCATGAACAAGGTCCTGGACTCCATCCCAATACCAGGGAGGAAAAACAAAGTATACATACATTAGCATAATTCTTCTGACGAACGGTTAGAGCACTCATTCACTGGCTCATTCACTCACTTTTGGAGCATCCAGATGCCAGCTTTGTGGGCCAAGCATTGGGCTTTGGGCCCAGCAACCCTCATGAGAAGAGTTCAAATGATTTTCACCATTCAGAAAGCCACATTTAATTTTGAAGCAAGATTAATGAGGAGGGAATCAGCTTTAAAATTTACTGTCTTAATTCACTCCAGTTATACCATAGGAAGGTAGCATGATGTGGCAGAAGGAGTAACAGGCCATGAGTTGGAAATGCTAGCTTAGGTTCAGCTCTGCCAGAGGAACTGCATGCTTGTAGGCAAGTTACTTAACCTCTCTGGGCCTCACATTCCTCTTCCTAAAAACGGGCGGGCTGGGCTTGAGATTCCTTCCATCTCTAAAATTCTTTTATTCTATATAGTAACACATTTCACAAAGTTTCCTTTGTGGCCAGAATTACTCTGTGATTCCCTAGCTCAAGTGCCCCCGCCCGCCCCATGTTAAACCAAATATGAACAAAAAGCAATAACATTTTGTCACAACTGCCTTTTGCAGTGACCTTTGGAGGTCAGGCCACCGATACAAGATCTAAACCCAAAGGCAATGTTCTGACCACTTGTGGCTGGCAGGCTGCCATTCAAAAGATGGAAATGGCTGCAGGCCACCAAGATTCTTGGCTGGGACATTTTTAATAAACATAGAACATAAGAGCAGCATTTTCCACTTGGATTGCTTAATTTGGTGCCATACCATTGGAACGTTTGCTGTTAGGACAGAGATGATGTGATATATAACTTATTTAGCTCAGGATGGAGTAACTTTCACCAATGAGAAATAGGTTATGGAGTCATCCCTGAGGAATTTTCACCCTTGCTGCTCATCTGGCAGGAGACAGCTTGAGTCATAGCAGCAGTGACCCCCATTCCGTGCCAGCTCTCGTGGCCCTCGGTAAGTTTGCCCTGAAACACCAGCTCTGCTGAGTGTGCTGCTATGCACGTATGGACAGAAGCAAATTGGTGCGACTCTGGCTGAAGCCACGTCTTTATGAATACTTTTCCCAGAGAGTTCAATGTGTCTGCATAACTCTTCCGAGAAGAAAGCCTCCACAGCAACTGTCCTCTAAAGTGGAGAACAATACTTGAGGCACAGGTATCTTACACCACAGTGAGTAGTGAGTCACAACTCCCCTCCAAGCTGTGACTTCCCAGTCGGTCTCTGGGTCTCCCAGTCTCCCACGGTGGAGGGCAGGCCACAGCGAAGGCCTCCCCCTGGCCAGGCTTCAGAGAGCTCAAGAAGCTGCAGTTAGATGCGTGGGTGGAAATGAGCGCTCTCCAAACGCTTCACGTTTGGACCGAGGCCCCATGCTTTCCTACCTGCGGCCACCCTGGGCCTGACTATAGCTGCAGCTTCCCACTTCTGAGGCTGCAAGTTCCAAGAGGAAAACAGCTGAGACCAGCCAGCTTTTCAGTTAACTGGGTTCCTCCGTTCCATTACAGACGCCTCAGGCCCTGATGGAACTGAGTGACCATAATCTCTTCACTCAACCTGGCCTTCATAGTCATCTCAGTTGCACCCCAAGTCACTCCAGGGATGAGAGGCCTGGTGACAGGAACTGGCGGCAGCAACCTTCTCCGGCTCAGGGTCCTACCAGAATGCTGGATGTAAATGCGGACACTCGAATCCCGGGATTGTGGGTCCCTGCGCCCCCGCACCCTTTGGCTCCGACGTGCACATAGGGGTGTTCTGCACCCGCCCTCGGCAGAGGTAGCTCCCGGCTGCTGGGGCAGGAGGATTTGACCGGGCACGCGGTCCGGTCAGGCGGTGCGGGCAGGGGTCGGTTCTAGAGCAGGGCGCAGGGAGCTGCGCGCCTGTGTGCGCCCCACAATCACGCATCCCGCCCTGCACTGCGCCCCGCCGGTCACGCACCGCCGCCTCCGCTCCCGCCCCCGGCAGCCACGGGGGGCAGCGCGTCACCCACGGGACCCCCGCAGCCGGGGCTCGGGCGTGACAAAGATCCCGCAGGCCCCGCCCCCGGGACGGAGGGAGCGTATCTGCGCGCCCCGCCCCGCCCCTCCGCCGGCCCCGCCCCGCCAGGCCCCGCCCCCACTGCACACGGCCTGGCTGCCCGCGGCGCCGGCTCTGAGGAGGACGCGGGCGAGCGGAGGACGCGGCGGAGGCCGGAGGACGCGAGCGGGTGCGGAGCGGCGGCGGGTCCTGGGGTTCCCGGGGTCCCCGGGCGCCCGGCCCCCCGCCCCCGGCCCCACCCCGGCCCGCGGCCCCACGCGGACATGGTGTAGCCGCCGCCGCGCCGGACGCCGCCCCCCTGAGCCGCGGCCGCGAAGACGGGCCCGCCGCCGACGCCATGAGGTGAGCGGGGCCGGGGCCGGGTCGCGGGGACCCCTTTGTCCGCGGGGCTCGCCGCCCGGGACCCCGCACCGCCCCGCCGGGCCCGACTCAGCTGTCCGAGCCGGCCCGCGAGCCGCGGCGGGGTCGCGATCCCGCGGGACTTGCAGCGGCGGCGCGCGGGCGGGGGTCCGGGCGGGGCCGAGGGTCGTGGGGAGGCGGGGCCCGCGGAGGTGCTCGGGCCCCGAGGTGCAGTGCGGCAGCAGCCCGCCCCGCTGTGCTGGTCCCCGCGGCAGCGCGGTCTCGGCCGATCCGGGCGCTCGCAGCCGCGGCCGGGCGGAGGGGGCTCCTTTGTGTCGGCCGGCTGGCCGGTGCCTGGCGTGCGGTTCGACCAGGACCGCCTCGGCTCTGCGGGCTCCCGAGCGGCACCAGCCGTTCTGCGCGATCATCCTCCGGCCTGCCCACCAGGCGCCCGTCGCGGGTGAAGTACATTACCCACTCTCCCTCGGAGAGAGTCTTACTGTTCGTCTGGGTTTGAATCTCCTTTGTGTTAGAGATTAATGGCTAGCCGTTGCCAAGACCTTTATGATGTAATACAATGAGATTTGAGTGGTAAAATCCACGGATTCCTTGATTTGGTAAGAAAATGTCTTCTCATTAGACTTTTTTTCAATTTAAGTCGTTTTCATTTGAAACTATTTTCATTTGTATCAGAATTAAACCTATTCCTGTTTTCCTTTTTTCGGTCTTTTTTTGTGATACAGTTGTGTTTTCCCTGAAACTTACTCAGAATTTGAATTATTTTATTCTCGTTGTTCGAGTTACAGGCTTTTATTTATGATGTCTTAAAATTTCGAAATGCAAAGTGACCGCTTTTCCATGGTAATTTCACATAAGTTACTTTCAAATGTAGTGGATCAGTTTAGAAAGTAATTATGGCATAGAAACCAGGACCCATAATTAATCTTTGTAAAATATGGCTTGAAAAACTTCAGTTATATATTTGTGCTTTTTTTAAGTCATGATACCGCTGTCCTTGAAAACTCAGGAACGGTGATATACACATTGTGCCATATTATATATAGCATTGATTTCTGCCTCAGATTTAATGTTATAGGGTTCTTGTAGACAAGAGGTATCAAACTTTGACTAAATTTATCTTAACATTGAAGAAGTGTACGACAGTGACAGGAGGTTATTCTAAAAAGCAGTCGTCAAGCTAACTCAAAGATTGTGAGCCGACAGAAAGACACTGCAAGCTTTGGGTGTTCAGTAAAGTTCGTCACTGTCACGTATCGATGTCAATCTGTCTTGGGTAAATTGTGTCTTCACTTTTAAACTTCTTTTTCTAGTAAAATACAACTTCTATTTTTAAAGCTCTTTTTGTGCCCTATTCCACATTAAGTATAGTGAGGGAGGAATCGCACTGTTTTTCCAGTAGCATAAACATAGAAAGAACATGGTACCCAGGTATGAAAAGTTTAAGCGGTCTATAATAATTCTTTGTGGGGTAGTTTTGAGTAATTTAAGAACAGAAAGGAGGATTACCTTTTTCATTTTAGAAGAAATTGGATTATTTGGTAATGTTTTGTACAATTGTATGAGATGAGGCAAAATTTGGGCTATTTTCTTGCTTAAGAAAGGATTTTTCAGGCCGGGGATTTAGCTCAGTGGTTCTGCTGCCTGCCTCACAAGCGCAAGGACCCAAGTTCGATCCCTGGTACCAAAAAAAAAAGAAAAAAAAGAAAGGATTTTTCATTAATATAGTGGGCCCTCAAGTTATGACCAGCCTGACATATGAACAACTTGGGTTAATCAGGTTAATGGAAGATTCATCTGGCTCTTTTTATCTATAGCATGTAGCCAGGTAACCATCCAGATCTCAGCTGAATTGACTTACAACCAATTTGAGCTACAATTGAGTTCTTAAATCAAGGGTCCACTGTATTTACTTGGTCTTCATGATGCCTTCAAGTACTGTAAGACATAAGTGTCAGTCCTTTAAGTCTTTTTTAGTTTTATGAAGGATAGTTCTGATATTTCAGAGGCTATCTGGAAATAGGAATGCCTAGGCAGAGATTTCCAATTAAGTTGGTCAGAATTTTGAAAAAGAGAAAATGATGAATATATTGCAGTGTATTTGTGCTAAGATCTCTCAGGTGACTTAAATTTTAGGAATAGCATGCTCACTGAGATTTAATGCAATCATACACAGGAAAGAAATGAATAATACTTTACATTCCTGGTACAGTTGTACAACATTTCCATTTTGCTTAAAGATGAGCCTTAAAAAAGTGAAAAAACAGTGGTTCTGCCGCCTGCCTTGCAAGCACAAGGTCCTGAGTTCCATCCCCGTTACCAAAAAAAAAAAAGTGAAAAAGTGTATTATACAGGGTAGAGGAAGTGATGAGACCAAAAAATTGGCACTTTTAGTATCCCATCTGAGTTTCTGGTTCTGTTCAATTTTTCATTTAGGTAATATTTCAAACATATAAGATGATTTATGATTGAGGAGTGTATGTATGTGTATAAAATACAGTATGTGCCTTTTAAGTGATTGTATTTTGAAAAATTAGTTGGCTAAGATTTTCGTTTTTTTTAATAAAATGATGAGCTTGTCTGATCTAAAATTAGTTGTAGTCTGGCTAAAAGAGCTGAGATTGAGGATTGGCATTCTTGGGTCCATATTAAATATAGTCTAGGCTTCCACTAGTTATTCTGACTTTCTTATGTAAAAAAGGTGTAATGAAGTTGTGAGGATTTGTCCAAGCCACCTACTAGCTGGGTGACCTTGAGCTAAGCAAGTCATTTCATTGACTTTTTTGTTTTTGCGGTGCCAGGGATCGAACTCAGGACCTTGCGCTTCCAAGACAGGCGCAGTGCCACTGTGCTAAATCCCCAGCCCCATTGACATATTTTTTAAAAGTAGAGTAAAAATAGAGGCTGATGTGGTAATAGAAGCTGCTTTTTGGACTTAGCATTACAAGATTATGTTGCGTCTCTTGTTTTGAGTGCTGCTGCTTTAAAAATTTTTTTATTTTTGGCTTTTTGAAACAGGGTCTTGTTATGTAGTTTAGGCTGACCTTAAACTCATTACATAGCCCAGGCTGGCCTTGAACTCACAGAGATCTTTCTGCTTCGGCCTCCCCAGTGCTAGGGTTACAGGCATACCTCACCATGTCCTGCATGAGGCCTGCTTCTGTTTTAGAATAGTTGCGTAAAATATTTGGGCAGTTTGTTTACCTGTGGACCTTCTTTACTTCATGGATGTCAAGGTTACATTTTGCTTTCCTGTTCCAACTATAGTAGGTACCATGTTGATAAGGATGTGGATGCATTTCTGGACTGATGGAAAGGTAATGTTTGGTTGGATCTTAGCAGTATTTGGTTGGGATGTGGATCCCAGAGAGGCATTGGAGAGCGGTTCCTGGAATGCTGTTTACTTCATCTGTGATCTAGTCCACTGTTAATTTATAAGTGAGAAAGCTGTTAAGTTTCCTTAAGTGTATATGTTTATAGTTTTGAAAGTTATTTTGTTACTTTTATTGATGGTAATAATAAATTTATTACACATTTTAGACTGTGGAACAATCAAGGGCCAGAAGATCCAGGTTATATACACTGACTCATTAATTGAACAGATTGGTAAAATGGCGATAATCCTATTATTTCACAGGATTGTTCTGTCAGGTATCAAGTGAAATATCCATGAAAGGATGCAAATAGTATTCTCTCTGTTCCCATGGGTCTTCATTTATACTTGTAGCTGTTGGATGTGTGACTCTCCCACAGAGATTTTTTTTAGGAATAGGAGCCAAATCTTCAATTTTTTGAATGTCAGTATTGTATTATTTATTGAGTGAATAAACTTGAATAAAAGTGTGGATAAGTAGGGAAAATTTACTGAACTTTATATAGTAGTCAAGGTTTTGGATATTTTGTTAGCTCAGTTGGAGTAGACAGAATAACTAGGCAGGCACCATTTGGCTAGTTTTGAAGAAATTACATACAAGATTGATGGTTTTGTAATTTATACACAAAATGGGTGGTTGTGTAACTTATAAAACACCCAGTCTTTATCATGAGTATAGAAGGATTTGGAAGAATGCAATTTTTATAGTTTTATACAATTTTATGCAGTATCCTTTTATGCAGTAAAAGGATACTTGAACTGTTCCTGTGCCAAATGAAAGTTGTCTCTTTTTCCTTCTCTCCTTTCTTTGAAATTGATCGATTGAGTGGAGGTAAAAATTAGAATCTGAGCTGAGGCTGTACAGTGGATGCTGCCCCAAATAAGAGTTGTGAACTGTTCTGGACTAAGGAATGAGAGGCTTCGTCTTTCTTGTAACACATCCAAGACCTGTGCCCTCCACTCCCCCAGCTGTTCTGTGTGTGCTTGTGCACTCTGTGTGTTTCTCTGCTCTTTCATTTATTATACTGTTTTATAATCATCGGGATCTGTTTGACTTCTACATTGTAAGCTCCTTGAGGACAAAATCTGCATTGTTTTTTTCCTTAGGTGCTGGGTTTGAACCTAGGGCCTGGCTTGTGCTATGCATGTGCTCTGCACTGAGCCACAGCTCCTGCCTAAGGGTCTCTGTGTGTGTGTGTGTTTTTTGAGACAGGGCCTCACCATGTAGTTCAGGATGGTCTTGAGCTCTATGTAGCCCAGACTGGCCTTGAACTTGCAGCGATCCTCCTGCAGGGCTGCATTTTTATATTTATGGTACCAATAAAATTCTTGCCAAATGGTGGTATCCTTATAACTATTTGACAATGATATTCTCTTGTGGAATCTCATTTACTAACAATAATAGTCACTACTTTTTGGAGTGCCTGTAGTGCTCTAGAACCTGCACTAGGTACGGTGGGATGTAATACAGTATTTGGCAGGTAATAAATGTAATAAAATTATTCAGTAAAACAAGACCCTGCATCCTGACTACAGAAATAGATGTGAAATATGTTTCTTACTCATTGACAAAGCTCAGAAGTGGCCAGAGACTCAGACTTAGGTTTGTGTG